CAGAGGACAAGGGGGCACTCTTTACGTCTTGAGGAAAATAAATTTAACCTCCAAACATGGAAAGGTTTCTTCACAGTGAGAGCTTTGAAAATGTGGCATAGACTGCCTCAAGAGTTGGTTCTGGCCAGCTCAGTGGATTGCTTTAAAAAAAAGTCCTGGATTCTTTCTTAAAAACACAGAATATAACTGGATTCTAACATTTTTATAGGTAAAGTTGATCCAGGGAATATCCGAATAGCCTCTTGGGGGATCAGGAACGAATTTTTTTTCCCTGCAGGAGTAAATTGGATCATGCTTTGCTGTTTGTTTTGCCTTCCTCTGGATCAACTGTGGGTATGGGATTATAACTTTTGTGTGTGTGTGTGTATATGTGTATGTACAGTGGGGATCGAAAGTTTGGGCACCCCAGCTAAAAATATGTATTAATGTGCATAAAGAAGCCAAGGAAAGATGGAAAAATCTCCAAAAGGCATCAAATTACAGATTAGACATTCTTATAATATGTCAACAAAAGTTAGATTTTATTTCCATCATTTACACTTTCAAAATAACAGAAAACAAAAAAAATGGCGTCTGCAAAAGTTTGGGCACCCTGCAGAGTTAATATCTTGTACTACCCCCTTTGGCAAGTATCACAGCTTGTAAACGCTTTTTGTAGCCAGCCAAGAGTGTTTCAATTCTTGTTTGAGGTATCTTTGCCCATTCTTCCTTACAAAAGTCTTCCAGTTCTTTGAGATTTCTGGGCTGTCTGTCACGCACGGCTCTTTTAAGGTCCATCCATAGATTTTCAATTATGTTGAGGTCAGGAGATTGTGAAGGCCATGGCAAAACCTTCAGTTTACGCCTCTTGATGTAATCCCCCGTGGATTTCGAGGTGTGTTTAGGATCATTATCCATTTGTAGAAGCCATCCTCTCTTTAACTTCAGCTTTTTCACAGATGGCATCAAGTTACCATCCAAAATTTGCTGAAATTTTATTGAATCCATTTTTCCTTCTACTCGTGAGATGTTCCCTGTGCCACTGGCTGCAACACAAACCCCAAAGCATGATTGATCCAACCCCATGCTTAACAGTTGGACAGAGGTTCTTTTCATTAAATTCTGTGCCCCTTCTTCTCCAAACGTACCTTTGCTCATTCCGGCCAAAAAGTTCAATTTTTACCTCATCGGTCCACAGAACTTGTTTCCAAAATGCATCAGGCTTGTCTATATGTTCATTTGCAAAGTTCAAACGATGATTTTTGTGGTGAGGACGTAGAAGAGGTTTTCTTCTGATGACTCTTCCATGAAGACCATATTTGTACAAGTATCTCTTTATAGTGGAATAGTGTACCACAACTCCAGTGTCTGCCAGATCTTTTTGGAGGGATCGTGCAGTCAAACGTGGGTTTTGAATGGTTTTTCTCACAATCCTGCGAGCTGTTCTGTCTGATATTTTTCTTGGTCTTCCAGATCTTGCTTTAACTTCCACTGTTCCTGATGACTGCCATTTCTTAATTACATTCCGAACAGAGGATATTGACATCTGAAAACGATTTGCTATCTTCTTATAGCCTTCTCTAGCTTTGTGAGCGTCAACTATTTTCAGTTTCAGTTTTCTAGACAACTGCTTAGAAGAACCCATGGTGCTGATTGTTGGGGCAAGGTCAGATGAGTCTGGGCATTTAAAACCTTTGAGCTTGACATCACCTGGTCTTCCCAGACAATGATTGAGAACAATCCATGACACTGGCAGGTCTCAGCTTGGCAAAGGGGACAGTGCATGCTATAAATTCTGCAGGGGGCCCAAACTTTTGCAGACGCCATTTTTTGTTTTCTGTTATTTTGAAAGTGTAAATGATGAAAATAAAATCTAACTTTTGTTGACATATTATAAGAATGTCTAATCTGTAATTTGATGCCTTTTGGAGATTTTTCCATCTTTCCTTGGCTTCTTTATGCACATTAATACAAATTTTTAGCTGGGGTGCCCAAACTTTCGATCCCCACTGTATGTATGTCTTTTTCAGCCAGACTAACTATGTATGTAATGCAAACAATGGCCTGGTCAGGAAGGGGGGTAAATCCTCTGGAGGGCAAGTGCTTAAAGCAGACATCCTAGTGAATAACATGGTGGGTATTGAAATTTTTAATGTCACATAGTACTCACGCTACAATATTTCAAACGCAATTAAAAAAAAATATATATATATAAAAGATGGTATGTTGAGTAAATAGATGCCAACCATGACATGCTTTAAAACTGGGCACGCCTTGTACAACGGAAACAAACTGCATACATTTTTAATATCCATAGGCGACGCATTAAAAAGCCTTTTACAGGCTACCATTTTAGATTTACACAGGAGGTCTAATGCTAGAATTATCGCCCCTCAATATGACATTTGTGGCAGTACGTCGCATGCATGGTGCAGCCACTGTTTACATACCGACACAGGGCCAGTGCTTGTGCACGCAGTTGCGTGGGGGGTGCAAGGGTGATTTTTATTTTTTTACTTTTTTTTTTTTTTTTTTTAAGCACTTTTATTGTTATCACAGGGAATGCAAATATCCTCTGTGACAACAATGGGCAGTGAACAAAAGAAACATTTTCCCAGCTAGGCTGAAAAAAAAAAAAAACTATTATACTGTAACAATATGCAGTGAAAACAGAGGACTGGATTCTGTTTTTTAATGGAAATTGTTCTTTATGGAGGCCATCTGATGTGTTGGGAAAACCTTTGTCTTGTTTGTGCTGTGCAAAGCCCTTCTTAAACATAGTTCATAAATTGCAAACATTAAAAATGATCTACAAGCAATAGGAATACACTGAACGTCTCTTAGATGCCAAGCTGGTTTACGGTTTGCTTAGTGAACAGAACTCTTGGCATTAAACATTCACAGGAAAATGGGTTATTGATCTTGGCTGTTTTTTTTTTCCCCCTCCTCCTCTCGTTCACCTTTAGATGGCAGCACAGTACTATAAAAGCCATTGGGCAGCCGTGTCAAAAAGTCAAATTGTTATTGATTCTTATTGAAAGGGCTTCTCTAAAGCTTGGGCTCAGTATATGATTAGAGTTTGCGTAGAGCAGTGGTTCTCAACCTTCCTAATGCCGTGACCCTTTAATACAGTTCCTCATGTTGTGGTGACCCCCCCAACCATAAAATGATTTACCCAGTAATTATAATTCATGAGTGTCGTTTTACTTCCAATACTGCTGCTTTCAACACAGTAGCTGCTTTCAACACAGTAGCTGCTCTTTACACATCGGAAATATGTGTTTTCTGATGGTCTTGGGGGACCCCTGTGAAAGGGTCATTCGACCCCCAAAGGGGTCGCGACCCACAGGTTGAGAACCACTGGCGTAGAGGGACCTTCAGTAGCTTGTTGCACCTTAGTGAAACTAGGTGCCCGCAGATGATATAAGGAAGTGCACTCTCCCCCTCTGTTTCCATGTAGTGTGAGCTGCTATCACTTTGAACCTATCTAGGAAAGCCATAAGCAACAATGAGATAATGGAGCATTGGGGCTTGATCTATGGGTTTACAATGATGAACAAGCAAAAGACTTGAATAAAGCTGGCCATATATTTATACAATTTTCCTTTTAGATGTACCAAAATCTTATGAGGCCAAACCTAAACATTCTCAATTTGTATGCAATCAGGCAGGCCCTTGCACTACATAGTTGAAGGTAAATCTACAAGAAATTGAACAAGAAAATTGTATAATGTATGGCCAGTTTAAGTTTTTTTCACTTCAGTACAATAATACCTCAGTCCATTGTTTTCTCAGGGCAGGTGACTTATGAAGTCAGTCTGCCAAATGCCTGCAGGCTGCCATGATTGTTTTGGCAGATTACTTTTGCAGTGGCTATTGCCATATACAGTGAGGAACAGAAGTATTTGAACACCCTGCGATTTTGCAAGTTCTCCCACTTAGAAATCATGGAGGGGTCTGAAATTCACATTGTAGGTGCATTCCCACTCTGAGAGACAGAATTTAAAAAAGAAATTCAGGAAATCACATTGTATGATTTGTAAAGAATGTATTTGTCTTGCACTGCTGAACATAAGTATTTGAACACCTGAGAAAATCAGTTTTAATATTTGGTACAGAAGCCTTTGTTTGCAGTTTACAGAGGTCAGACGTTTCCTGTAGTCCCTGACCAGGTTTGCACTGCAACAGGGATTTTGGCCCACTCCTCCACACAGATCTCCTCTAGATCTGTCAGGTTTCGGGGCTGTCGCTGAGCAACACGGAGTTTCGGCTCCCTCCAAAGATGTTCTATTGGATTTAGGTGTGGAGACTGGCTAGGCCACTCCAGAACCTTGATATGCTTCTTACGGAGCCACTCCTTTGGTTATCCTGGCTGTGTGCTTCGGGTCGTTGTCATGTTGGAAGACCCAGCCACGACCCATCTTCAATGCTCTGACTGAGGGAAGGAGGTTGTTGCTCAAAATCTCACAATAAATGGCCCCATTCATACTCTCCTTAATACAGTGCAGTCGTCCTGTCCCCTTCGCAGAAAAGCACCCCCAAAGCATGATGTTACCACCCCCATGCTTCACAGTAGGGATGGTGTTCTTGGGATGCAACTCATCCTTCTTTTTCCTCCAAACACGACGAGTGAAGTTTAGACCAAAAAGTTCTACTTTGTTCTCATCTGACCACATGACTTTCTCCCATGCCTCCTCTGGATCACCCAGATGGTCATTGGCAAACTTCAGATGGGCCTGGACATGTGATGACTTCAGCAGGAGAACCTTCTGTGCAATGCATGATTTGAAACCATGACGGCGTAGTGTTCTACCGACAGTGACCTTTGAAACTGTGGTCCCAGCTCTCTTCATGTCATTGACCAGCTCCTCCCTTGTAGTTCTGAGCTGATTCCTCACCTTTCTTATCATCAGTGATGCCCCACGAGGTGAGATCTTGCATGGAGCCCCAGTCCGAGGGAGACTGACAGTCGTCTTTAGCCTCTTCCATTTTCTAACAATTGCTCCAACAGTTGATCTATTTTCACCAAGCTGCTTGGCAGTACACAGAACATGGAAATGCAATTATTTTAGTAAATATAAACTGCTAAATATCTTTTCTCATCAGCAGCTAGAGCAGTCTTATGACTTCTATCAGTGTCCAGCGAGCACTACCGTATTTTTCGGCGTATAAGACGACTTTTTACCCCCTGGAAATCTTCTACAAAGTCGGGGGTCGTTTTATACGCCGGGTGTTGTGCTGAAACCATACCTGTACTTCCGAGCTGACGCTTCTGCGCATGTCTTCGGCAGCAGTAGACGATCGCTGATCACCATTCCTCGCAGAACTGCATGAGACGTCGGATGCAGCCGTTCAGTGCTCGATTGAGCTTGACTGAAACTGTGACATGCGCAGAAGCGTCTTCTTGCCGCTACCCGATGTGTATCCCTTCTCTGCATATCACCGTTTCAGTCAAGCTCAATCGAGCACTGCTGCATCCGACGTCTCATGCAGTTCTGCGAGGAATGGTGATCAGCAATCGTCTACTGCTGCCGAAGACATGTGCAGAAGCGTCAGCTAGGCAGTACCTTGTGTAATTGACCCCTTTTATGAAATACGGTAATTAACATCAATTATTATATATTAATAACTGTGGCAGTTCTCAGATCATCTTGGAGACAGGGAGGGCTGGGCAGGCAGGGAGAGCTGACCCACCCAATCCAAGCAGTGTGCACAGAAAATACTGGTACATCGCTTGCCGTGATTGGTTGGTAGAGGGGTAGTCTTATATGGCGAGTATAGCCCAAACCCTATATTTTAACAGGAAAAGTAGGGGGTCATCTTATACCCCAGAAAAAACGGTAGTTAAAGCTTGTAGAAGGAGTTTTTTTATTTTGTTCTAGGAGGATACACTACTCCTGACCTCTGGACAGTGCTGATTGGCCCTGTGCTGATCACATGCACTATTCCAAGAAAAAAAAAAAAACCTCTTTAGCAATACACACCAAACTGAGCATGTGCAGAGTGACTCTACACAATGTCTTATCAGGAGATAAGAGGGGGACATTGGAAGAAGGGGAGGATCAGAGAGGACAGGATAAAACACAGTGCAGAGGTTTAACCCCTTAGGTTCCACAGTGAGTATAACAAGCATGCTTTACTGCATATACAGACTGATTTTACTGGTGTGGGTTTTGTAACACTTTAAGTATTTCAGTCTCTTTTGGGCACAGTTTTGCTATTTATTATTGATACATTTTTTGAGGATATCATTTAATGTGCTCTTTGTAAGTTTAATAAAACTTCCACTATTATATTTCCAAATTATTCTTTTTTTTTATTCTGTAGATAATACTGTGCAGAGACCAGACTCCAACTCTGTTCATCAGAGTGAATGGCAAAGAAATGTGTTTACTCTAAATTCCGGCACCTGCTCCCCTGGACAGAAGGCAGATGTGTATCGTGCACATATTTCACAGATTCAGTATGCATGGGCAAACTCTGAGATCTCTGAAGAATCCGCTATCCACCTGTTCAAGAAGTATGCTGAAAGGTATGCCGCCATCATTGACTCCGACAAGGAGGGGACTGGCCTAAATAACTACGCAGACAGTGTAATGGCCTTGGCCAGATGTCCTCGGAATGACAGTAATAAGTGGCAATCCTCGCTAACTCCCAGCAATGTTTTAAAATTAAAAAGTGTGCAGGACATGTTTAATACAGCAAAGTCCTATCAGGAGTCTCTGCTGACTTCACCAGAGACCGTTTTGAAGATGGTCAGCACCTCTGGTAATTCAGCAGTTACAAAAAATGTTTTCAGCAATTTAGAGCAAAAAGAAGCTAAACATCCCTTGCTGAATTCTAAAATGCCACAAGCTAGCGCAAACTTTGTTCAGAATGCAAAAACTGCAACACTAGTGAATGCCAATGAGTGTCCATCTGTTAGTCCTGTACAAAGCGCTGTACACAGCACTAAAACTCTTTTGACAAAACCCCTATTTGGGAACGCTGACGCAAGAAGTTTTACAAAATCAGATAGTGTTGCTGGACAAAGTCCTTTTTTTTTCTTGTGTTTCTGCAAATTCAGTAAAAAGGAAAAAAGTTCTTTCATCGGGGGACGAAAATATGGAGACAGAAAACGGTAGTCCGGGTCTGAAAAAGCCAGTAAGTGCCCATGCGTCTGCAGCAGATGACGTTTGCTTTAAAACGGCAAAAGAGCAGTTGTGGGTTGAACAGCAGAAAAAGTATACCAGTCAGGCTCAGCGCCCTACAGGACCTGGAATATATGGCACCGGTAAGAAGTCACTTGGTGCTGTTCGCTCTCGTGGACTACATGGAAAGTTTGTGCCTCCAATTGCTAGGCAAGATGAAGGTGAAGATAATTCTCTGGCACAGAAAAAATCTTATGGCGCTGTTGGCAGTGAGACCAGTGTACCCTCTGATGAACGTCTAAAAAACATTGAGCCAAAGATGATTGAACTAATCATGAGTGAGATTATGGATCATGGACCGCCACTAAATTGGGATGACATTGCAGGTTTGGAATTTGCCAAAACTACTATAAAAGAAATTGTAGTGTGGCCAATGCTAAGACCAGATATTTTCACTGGTCTTCGAGGACCTCCAAAAGGCATTCTATTATTTGGGCCTCCTGGAACAGGAAAAACTCTGATAGGCAAGTGTATAGCTTGTCAGTCTGGTGCCACATTTTTTAGCATTAGTGCATCATCACTGACTTCCAAATGGGTGGGTGAAGGAGAAAAGATGGTCCGTGGTGCTCTTTTTACCGTGTCTCGGTGTCACCAGCCGGCTGTGATCTTTATAGATGAAATAGATTCTCTTTTATCTCAGCGTGGTGAAAGTGAGCATGAATCTTCACGGAGGATCAAGACAGAGTTCTTGGTGCAGCTAGATGGTGCCACAACTTCCTCAGAAGACCGTATCCTTGTAGTTGGTGCAACTAATAGGCCTCAAGAAATAGATGAAGCTGCCAGAAGACGACTTGTTAAGAGGCTCTACATACCACTTCCGGAGGCGTCTGCCAGAAAACAAATAGTTATTAACCTGATGTCTCGGGAGCACTGCAGCCTCACAGAGCAAGAAGTGGAATCAATAGTCCTACAAGCAGATGGTTTTTCTGGTGCAGATATGACTCAGCTGTGTCGGGAAGCTGCACTTGGTCCGATTCGCAGCATTCAAGGGATGGACATTACCACAATTACTGCTGAACAAGTCAGACCCATTTCTTCTACTGATTTCCAGAATGCTTTCCAAGTCGTGAAGCCCAGTGTCTCTAAGAAAGATCTGGAATTGTATGAAAATTGGAACAAAATGTTTGGCTGTGGAAGATAATGTTTCCAAGAATACAGTCAGGTCCATAAATATTGGGACATCGACACAATTCTTACATTTTTGGCTCTATACACCACCACAATGGATTTGAAATGAAATGAACAAGATGTGCTTTAACTGCAGACTGTCAGATTTAATTTGAGGGTATTTACATACAAATCAGGTGAAACGGTGTAGGAATTACAACAGTTTGCATATGTGCCTCCCACTTGCTAAGGGACCAAAAGTAATGGGACAGAATAATAATCATAAATCAAACTTTCACTTTTTAATACTTGGTTGCAAATCCTTTGCAGTCAATTACAGCCTGAAGTGTGGAACGCATAGACATCACCAGACGCTGGGTTTCATCCCTGGTGATGCTCTGCCAGGCCTCTACTGCAACTGTCTTCAGTTCCTGCTTGTTCTTGGGGAATTTTCCCTTCAGTTTTGTCTTCAGCAAGTGAAATGCATGCTCAATCGGATTCAGGTCAGGTGATTGACTTGGCCATTGCAGAACATTCCACTTCTTTCCCTTAAAAAAATTCTTTGGTTGCTTTTGCAGTCTGCTTTGGGTCATGGTCCATCTGCACTGTGAAGCGTCCAATGAGTTGTGAAGCATTTGGCTGAATATGAGCCGATAATATTCCCGAAACACTTCACAATTCATCCGGCTGCTTCTGTCAGCCGTCACATCATCAATAAATACAAGAGAAGCAGTTCCATTGGCAGCCATACATGCCCACGCCATGACACTACCACCACCATGCTTCACTGATGAGGTGGTATGCTTAGGATCATGAGCAGTTCCTTTCCTTCTCCATACTCTTCTCTTCCCATCACTCTGGTACAAGTTGATGTTGGTCTCATCTGTCCATAGGATGTTGTTCCAGAACTGTGAAGGCTTTTTTACATGTCATTTGGCAAACTCTAATCTGGCCTTCCTGTTTTTGAGGCTCACCAATGGTTTCCATCTTGTGGTGAACCCTCTGTATTCACTCTGGTGAAGTCTTCTCTTGATTGTTGACTTTGACACACATGCACCTACCTCCTGGAGAGTGTTCTTGATCTGGCCAATTGTTGTGAAGGGTGTTTTCTTCACCAGGGAAAGAATTCTTCGGTCATCCACCACAGTTGTTTTCCGTGGTCTTCCAGGTCTTTTGGTGTTGCTGAGCTCACCGGTGCATTCCTTCTTTTTAAGAATGTTCCAAACAGTTGTTTTGGCCACGCCTAATGTTTTTGCTATCTCTCTGATGGGTTTGTTTTGTTTTTTCAGCGTAATGATGGCTTGCTTCACTGATAGTGACAGCTCTTTGGATCTCATCTTGAGAGTTGACAGCAACAGATTCCAAATGCAAATAGCACACTTGAAATGAACTCTGGACCTTTTATCTGCTCATTTTAATTGGGATAATGAGGGAATAACACACACCTGGCCATGGAACAGCTGAGAAGCCAATTGTCCCATTACTTTTGGTCCCTTAACAAGTGGGAGGCACATATGCAAACTGTTGTAATTCCTACACCGTTCACCTGATTTGGATGTAAATACCCTCAAATTAAAGCTGACAGTTTGCAGTTAAAGCACATCTTGTTTGTTTCATTTCAAATCCATTGTGGTGGTGTATAGAGTGAAAAATTTTAGAATTGTGTCGATGTCCCAATATTTATGGACCTGACTGTATGTGGTTGATTTATAGAAACCGGAAAGTGCAAAATCTGGTGTAGTTCTGCTTAGAAACCAATCAGCTTTCAGATTTTTTCTGTCAAAGCCTAATTCTAAGTAAGGCTGACCATACCTGATACAATTTTCTTGAGAATTTTGCTTTAGATTTACCAAAAACCATATGATAGGGAGGTCAAACCTAAACACTTTCCATTTTATCCAATTAGGCAGGCCCTTGCACTACATAGTTGAAGGTAAATCTAAAGGAAATTGGACAGAAAATTGTATAGTGTATGGCCAGCTTTAGAAGCTGATTGGCTACTGTGCACAGCCGCACCAGATTTTTGCACTCTCCAGTTTGAGTAAATCAGCCCAAAAGTGTATTCCAAATTCACTACCCATATTTTGTCATGTGCAATTGTATCTTTCTTTGCAGCTGTAAATAAAAACAATGGTTTACGATCAATATACTGTAGTGTTGACCACTCTACGATATACAAGCCTATCAACTGAGTGTGCACACTAAATGCAGTCCTGTGTGGTTTTTTTTTTTTTTTTTTTTTTTTTTGTGTTTTTTGCATCAAAAATGCATGCACTGTGTTTTCCATGTATTCCAATGGCCCTAGTTCACACCAGACCAGTAAAATCCATTCCAGTCCGTTTCTGGTGCAGAAAAAAAAAGTAGAGCATGCTGCATTTTTTTTCTGCACAGAACCATACTGGAACATGGCGTGTGGTGTGAACTGTAAGCAAACACGTATCCGGAATGCATTCGGAGTGCTTTTTTTGTGGTGTGAACTGGCCCTAAATATATAAGTTAAGACATGTAAAGTCATTAAGAATGTATTCGATGCTTAATAAGAGATTGTATGTCCGATACTGGCTTTTCATTAAAATTGGAGACTAAACTATGTCCTATAAACGCATGAGTTGATCATCATTGCATTCAACATAATTGTAATATTTTGGTGATAACTAGTATGCTTATGTTCAGCATTAGAGACATTTTTACATTTTCTTGTACACGTGTAAAAATATTCATTTTTGCCAATAAAAATTACTTAAAAGTGTTACTAAACCCAGGATCCTGCAGTCACTATATCTTGTCTCCCACAGTACACAGAACATGGAAGTGCAATTATTTTAGTAAATATAAACTGCTAAATACCTTTTCTCATCAGAAGTTAGCTCAGTCTTGTGACTTCTGTCAGTGTCCAGCTGAGCACTGGTTAAAGCTTGTAGGAGGAGTTTTCAGTTTGCTGTAGGAGGAGGCAGAACCCCAGACCTCTGTCTGGACAGTGCTGATTGCCCCTGTGCTCACATGCACTCTCTCAAGAAGAAAAGAACAAACATCTTTAGCAATACACACCTAACTGAGCATGTGCAGAGTATCCACACGATATGTCTTATCAGGAGATGAGGGGGGCACCCCTTAAGTTCCACAGTAAGTATAACAAGCATGCTTTACTTTATATACAGACTGATTTTACTGTTGTGGGTTTAGTAACACTTTAAACTCCCAGATCATTAGTATATTTTCTGACAGCAGAGGTCCTGTAGAATAAAACGATGATAGTTGCAATTTTTATGTCACATGATATTTGCACAACATTGATTGCTACTTTTTAGGGAAAAAATAAAGTGAATTTTAGGGCAAACATGCACAATACCCATTTTTTTTTTTGGTAAAATATAAAAGATAAGGTTACAAAACTAAATAGATGTCAAACGTGTCATGTTTTAATATTGTATTGCAAAAAACTACAGTACTTCTCCAAAACCTCCATAGATTTATGCTTTAAAAGCCTTTGTACAGTTGCAAGAAAAAGTATGTGAACCCCTTGGGATTCCGTGGAGTTTTGCATGAATTGGGCATAAAATGTGCTCTGAACATCATCTAAGTCGTAGGTCTTCTGAGAGCTCTTTTCTGCGAGGCATGGTTCACATCAGACAGTGCTTCTTGAAACCAGTAAACCCAAAACAGGTGTGTGTTTTTTTTAGGGCAGGACAGCTGTCAGCAACACATCCAATATCATCACACTGATTGAAGTCAAGGTTGGCTCACTCCTGGCTCCAATTAGTTCTGGGAGAAGTCATTAAGCTAGGGCCTCACATACTTTTTCCTCCCTGCACTGTGAATGTTTACATGTTATATGCAATTAAACCATGGCAACATCTAATGTTTGTGTAGTATTATGTTCAGCAGACTGTGTTCTCCTATTGTTGTGACTTAGATGACGTTCAGAGCACATTTTATGCCCAATTCATGCAAAACTCCACGTAATCCCAAGGGTTCACATAGTTTTTTCTTGCAACTGTAGCTCATCAGTATAGAGTAACCAGAAGCTCTTGTGCTAGAATTATTGCTCTCTGACGTTCACAGTGATACGTCACACGTGTGGTGTGACCTTGGTCTTCATATGTGTGCGCACCAAGTGTGCATTTGCGCTTGTGTGCAGGGCTACAGGGGTTACGTAAAAAAAAAAAAAATTTAGTACATTTGTTTTTCAACTTTTTAATTTTTACTTGCAATCAGAAAGGGTTAATAAACCCCATGGGATACCATGTATCAGGCAGGTACTCTTTATGGGGACATTAGGGGCCTAATAGACCCCATTGTCTCCCCTGCCCTTCACAGCATATAACCAACTACAGGTCTGTACCTGCCAGGAAATGGAGGATCTGAAACCGGAAGTGACAAAATCCTTGTTGCTTCAGGTTTCTTTCAGTATAGGGAGATCGAGGCATAAATGTGCCTCGGTCTCCATTCAAGTCAGTGGTTGTGCTCCCCAGCTTAGGTAAGAGCGAGAGACCCTAGGAACTGTGTGTGGGGGGGGGGGGTACATCCAAACACCTGAACTAGTTTGGCAGTAGTAAACCCAGAAACAAAACTATATTGAATTACAGCTCGTCAGTTTCTAGATGTGGCGGCTGCATTCGATTTCTCTTTTAGGCTTTTTTCCTTTATTTTCTCCTGGTGATGGTGAAATGGCCAGTAAGTCTGTTATTTTGCAGCTTACTTGGAGGACCAGTTCACATAATGCAGGGCAGGAAACCTGCATTCCATGTGCCTTTGAAACTGCACTTATGATCTGCAGCGGGTGTCAGTATTAACTTAAAGTTTATAAAAAGGAAAAAGTTTTGCCTTTATTTAGTTTTGGATAGTGGAGAGAAATTGGAACACCTGTCAGTTTTTATTGCTGTCTGTGCCCCCTGTTAAGGAGATTCAATGTTTTGCTTCTACAACCACTTTAGCCTAGGCTCACACACATGCGATGCGATTCCTTGCGAATTCAATGCGTGTTTTTTTGTGCGAGTATAGTGTGAATTTTTGCTGCGGTTTGTACTGGACAGC